GACCTTTGCTCATGCCCTTTCGTCTCCCTGTGTGGACGTAATACTTACCCTTCAAGCTCCAACTCCTATGTCAAGTCTCTTATGAAGTATTCCTTGCTCATGTCAGTAGGGTGGTCATCTTTTATCTTATAAACTCTTGCCCAATTTTTTCTGTCCAGTAGCTTTCACATTTTTAGCTGGAATCACAGTAAGAAATATATTTTGCATTGGCACACATTTCATTCAAACTCACACACACACACACAAACACACACACATATCCCTAAATAAAAGCTTCATGAAACAATACTTACTCTGATTATTTGTAAAATCACTCTGGTATTGTCTCTTTTCTCTTTCATTTGGCAAAAGCTGTGACTGCAATCTACTAAATGGATTTTAATTACTCTTTAATGGTACCATAAGCTACAGTTTGAAAAACATTGGTCTGCACAACCCATACAAAATATCTTTTATTATGTATTGTGTATCAGCTTTATGTTACCCACCAGATTGAAAACTACTCAAGGGTGACGTTATATTGTACATCATAGAGCCTTTTACTGTATCTAATCATGCTTTTCATATAAGTTACTCAATAAGTGTTTGTGAAAGAGAAAAGGAAAGAAGGAGGGAAGGGAGGAAGGGAGAGAGGAAAGAAATAAGAAAAATATCTCTGGAGATGTTGATTGTACTCAGACATTAAGGCTGTTACTATTTAGCAAGTCAACAGATGGGGATCATTCAAGTTATTTGCAGGTGAATTTTCTAGTCAAAGTGGTATGTGTTTCTTTGAATAACTTCTTCAACCTCAATTTAAACTTAGGAATTAGTGTTACATCAGGGACTCTAGGACAAATGGAAAGATAGCGAGAACAAACTGACTAATGGAGAAAAGATAACCTCATCCATGCTGTGTTCCTTCTCTCTGCTGAATATTGGGAGGAGGGGGCAGGTGAGACCAAGGGTGTGAAGTGTTATCTCCAGACGTGAAAAAACCTTTTGGTTTGATTTCCATAAAGCCTGTGAAAGACAGTTCTGTCATGTTGGTATGTGCTGAACACATCTATACGTGCTGAATACATCAAGCAATTTCTGTGTACTGTCTATAAACGAAGTCAGCGCTAACACTCCCAAGCCCTTCAGGCTATAAAATGAAACAGGAAATAGACTCCAGCTCATGGCATCTGAAACACTGCTTTTCACTGATGTGCAGGATTATCATCGGTTTTTCTCAGATTCAAAGAGGAAAATTGTAGATGAAATTTAAATTTGAGAGTCATACTAATGACATACATTTACTGAAATGACATAGTCAGTTTGGGATTTGAACATAAGTTTTTCTTATTCAAAATCCATGCTCTTAACTAACATGCTATTTATACAGATGAAGTAACAACATAAAAATAATGCCTTCCATGGATATGAACACTTTTTCCAAGTCCTTCGTAGATATTTGTTTGCTGTGTTTTATCTTCAACATAACAGTGGGTATACAGGGACAAGATCAATAAGATACAGGATTAAAAAGATTATATAAATGCTAATAAATTATAATAATATTATGTAAAACAAATCTTTTCATATATCACTGAGAATTGTCCTATATCACTTTGAAAAAATAGTAATAATATTTCAATGAAAGTTTTGAAAATTGTTATTAAATATTGACTTTCTCTTGCCAAAAAAAGAATTAGAAAAATAAATATATAATATAGATAATAACATATTGTCTTCATTTCTGTGCCTTTGGTTGTCACAATTTAGAGAAATAAATCATTTGAAAATGCAGATTTATGGTTGTTCCATCACCAAAAATTTAGGCATGTTGCAATTGTTGAATTTCTTTAAAATTTGTTGTCTTTCTTTGGAATATATATATATATATTGAGAGAGAGAGAGAGAGAGAAAAGATATTTAGTAAAACATGCACTGCCCAGAGAGTGTCTATTTAATTATTTCATCTGACATTAATTTAGTTGGCTTAAAAATATTGTTAAATTTCAGATTTACACATTTATTCTTGCTAGGTTTGTCAGTACTATTTTGTTTCAGTCTGAACCACAGACTGTTCCTGCCAGCCACCTTGAAAATTCACGCCATTGGTGAGAAGCAGATGGAATCAGTGAATGAATTCTATGCTCAAGGCTGATTTCATAACAATTAGAAAATTAATTCCAAATCCATGCCCTACTAACTGAGTTAGCAGCAGTACACATACAGTTTACTTTATTTAAATATACTAGTCTCTTGGTTAGCAAAATAAATGTAAATTTTAATGCAACAACTTTAACATAATTTATTTTTTTTCAGATGTTTACTATATAACCCTTCTTGTATCATCATCAACAATTTCTGCAACAACAACACCTGTACCATGCACAACATCATCACCAAATCTTACTTCAAAAGCAAACCTTGAAGCACCTCCCAACGGTAGGATTAACTCTTAGCAAAGTTTACTCTAACTTGAACGAATAAAATTAGTAGCACATGTATGCTTTAATCACAGGAAAATAATTTGGGATCTCATATCTATTGTTATGAAGGTCTGTGCTATTTCTCAGTTATTTTGGGTTGAATACAGAGTCCTGAGATCTCAGTGGGCTTCTTTGATAATATTCCTTTGGATCACTTCATGTTTGAGAATGATCCTATTGTGAATGTTACATACACAAAGTTTATTTTTAGAGAAGAAAAAAATTACCGCTTCCCAAGTCATAAAAGTATCATTCTAAATATTCTAGTTCTTCACTGAAGCAGCACAGCTAACAAGGTGAAACTGCATTAATAACAAACTGATCTTGTTGGTTGTATTGGGCTGATAATAATGTGTAGGTTTCAGCAGCAATGTCATCATTATTGTTACTGGACTGGCTGACAACAACCGTATCATACTTTATGGCTTTAAGCATTAAAGGGGATTACCTTACCATCCGTGAAAAGTAACATGAGCCATTAGGGTCATTTAACTAAAAACCCAAGAGGTTATCAATCTAATGCATAATGCATTGTCCATCCTGCAACACCCATAAAATGAGGCATATTGGGGTCGGCCCTGTGGCTTAGCAGTTATGTGCGCGTGCTCTGCTACTGGCAGCCTGGGTTTGGATCCCAGGTGCGCACCAACACACGCTTGTCCAGCCATGCTGAGGCCGCGTCCCACATACGGCAACTAGAGGGATGTGCAACTATGATGTACAACTATCTACTGGGGCTTTGGAGAGAAAAGGGGAAGAAAAAAAGAGAAGGATTGGCAATAGATGTTAACTTAGGGCCAGTCTTCCTCAGCAAAAAGAGGATTGGCATGGATGTTAGCTCAGGGCTGATCTTCCTCACAAACTAACTAACTAACTAACTAAATAAATAAATAAATAAATAAATGAGGCATATCATTCAGGTCCAATAATCAATGGAGGGGAAAAACAGAATGGTTTGTTTTCTATGGGCAGAAACTGGTTAGAAGGCTAAGGTCACAGAAAGATCATATACCCTAATGGACAGATGGCTGAAATTCCCACTGCTGTCTTTCTTGCCTCTGTATTCCTCATTTAACTTTCATTCTAAGACGAAGCTCAAACACATGCTGTGGACTAATGAGGGCTAGTTCACTGGCTTGAACAGAGTAGTGATTTTCAGAGAAAAAGGGTATCGTGAATATAGCCCATTATTTCTGAAATGTTTACTTCTAAGGTGAAACCAAACCAGTTCTCCTAGAACTTCTCTACAAAACCAAGAGAAAACATTACACACTGAGGGCAGCACAGGGGATTTTATTCCCAGAACATGGTACAACGATTATTTCCAACCAAGGGAAACTCCAAATGACACAGTCGGGAAGCCAGGGCCCATCAGGCCTCCAGCCATCCCCTGCACACTGTATTTTTCATTTTATTTTTAAACATTGCCTCAGTCTTATGTTGCCAGGGTTTAAGTTTCTCGCTCTCTCTGTGAGTTGCCAGTTGAGTCCTTGGCATAAAATTGCACTAATGTGGTGAAAGCATGTTACTTTTGCAGTCAATAATATCCCCCCAAAGTACCAACACAGAGAAGCTGGGTGCTGACACTGCATGGAGACCCAAATTGTGGAAGTTCCACCGTTTTTATGTTAACTACTTGGAACTGATGATTTCTAGTGGGAAGATTCCTAGCCCTGCCTCCAATGATCTCTGGTGAATAACACTGTCCAAGTGACCACACAAGCCCTAACCACTATGTTAAATGGCCGTGAAAGGGGGGAGAATGGGGGCGTGGTGAAGGAATTCAGGCAGATTTGTCATTCATGATACCAGGAATTGGTGGCTCCTGTAGAGAGGCACTGAAGCTCCCTGGAACACTTGAAATTATGTACACACACACACAGACACACAAACACACATTCCTCTTAATTCGTTTTCTTGGGCACTTTTACTGCTTTATATTACTCGGTTACTAAAAACTAAACTCTAGTCTACGTTCTTCAAAAGTTCTCCAGATAAGTTTTAAATTATTCACATTCAATTGTAAAAATTGTAATAGGCCAGAGAAGCTTTTCTTTTTATTATTTCTTATTATAAAAATATTCAGATGTACCCAAAAGTAGAGAGTACTATAATGAATCTCCATATGCCCATCTCCCAGAATCAATAATTATCAAGTTTCTACCACATTTGCTTCATTTTTCTTTCTCTTTCTCCTTCCTCCCTCCCTCCCTCCCTTCCTTGTTTCTTTTCCTTTCACTTCTCTCTCTCTTTGGTTGTCAAAGTATTTTGAAGAGAATCCAAACTTTATGGCATTTTACCTCTATACACTAAATGTGCATCTCAAAAAACATGGACAATTTATTACAAAGCTACAATGTCATTATCAAAGTACCCAAATTAATAATAATTTCTTAGTATCATCCAATATCCATTTAGAGGACTTTTAAGGGTTAAAATCTAGTAACCATGAATATAACAGTGAGAGGGATTGTGGGAAGGAAATAAGTCCATTATGGAGTCTCTCGGGACATTAGCTGAGAGAATGATGGTGGAAGGGAGATGAAGAAGGAAAGACAGGTTCTGATGGCCGCAGCTGCTCTGACCCAGTATGAGAAACAGAAAGTCTGGCATAGCAGTAGGGATGGGTGGAGCCATCAGGCAGCTGAGGGGCCCATGGTGCTTATAGGAAAATGAGGGAACAACAGAGGAGGAGGAAGACAGAGAAAAGAACTCCTTTTTGTCTGGCTTACTTGATCCCATTTGTGTATTAAGGGTGTAGGTGAATTGGGCTATACATACGGGATATTGCCTATGCTCCTAAAGGCAATATAGTTAATACACAGATAATGAAGATGATGGGAAATTTCTCTTGAATTTGCATATTCTAAGCAATGTATCAGTATAAATGGCTTCCTAACTTCATGCCTGTGAGGGTGTTTAAATTTGGGGGAGTTGTATACATTGTCTCATCCTCCAAAATAATTATTTTAGATTACACAATAATATAACAAAAGGTATATCTATAGTGAAGTGATTCCTTAATCCCCCTTCCTCATGGCAAACATGGTCATTTTAGCCACAATAAAAAGTATTTACCAAAAAAAATATATATAACATGGAGAATCTTTTTTATTTTCAATTTAAGTCTTCCCAATCAGATTTTCTTGTTTAAAGGTCAAAAGACACTTGATTTAATAGTGCTTATGTCTCTCTAATGCACATAGGTTTTCTTTCTCTGGACAATGACAGAAATTTTATCATCAAAAAAGTGGAAAATTTTTTGATGGTAAAATTTCCCGAGAATGGGAATTCTTGCTGTGACAGTCCTAGTGGCAGAGGTGACTGACAGAGCTTCGCCCAGAGCAGGGCTCGCTTCCAGAGGTTTACCCAATGAGAGGGACTAGCCTTGATCTCTCCCTAGATGTGAATCAAGTGCATTGCCCATTTTGTTCAAAGGCCAGAGTCAAAATCAACATTTGGCAGACACTCAATATCATCATGATAAAATGAACTTCTAGGATACAAAAATAAACCTGAAATTTCATTCTTAAAATGTAATTATCAATTCAGCTTGATTTTTAAAGCGTTTAGTAGTCAAATATTTTCTTAATAAGCTGAATTATAATGCAGGAATAAAAATTTCTCAGCACTAATGCTAAAAATTTCTGATACTAAATAGACATTCAACTTCAACTAGGTAAATAGGGGAGCCAGCGAATTCGGGCCATCTCTTCCACAGAGGGTGTCAGTTACGGAGATGTTTAAGATGCACTTTCTCTCTGGAAACTAAGACAAAAATTGTAAACAATCGACTTTTAAAAAGCATTCTTGTAAATTCTCTTATATGATTAGCGGGAAAAAAATTGGTTTGGGTACCTCATTTTTCTCCATATCTTTCTTCTTTTATGCAGTCTTTATATTCCTTGTTAAGTTTGAATTGAAGACGAATTACCTGGCATATCTGTGTACATGATTTTTTGGTTTTTCTTTTTCATAGAATTTTGAAGTGGTAAAGTTGACGTTTTGCTTTTAGTTTACCCTCACAAGATGTAAAATGTTTTCAAATTAGACATTTTCTTGAAACCCTGTGTCCTAAATGGAATTAAACACAGTTCTAAAAGGTTATTTTGGAGAAATGGTATAAATACTAGTTCACTAAACAATTTTCCAGAGAGTAGAATTATGATATTTTAATGATTTAGTCTTTTATTTTTGACTCAAATGATATAATATTCCTAAAGATATATAGCTATAGTATTTTATTAATGTTCACATTAAATTCAGTCTATTTCTTTTATTAACTACCTTAAAGTATTTACTCATTGTTTTGCACATAAAATTAACAGAAATCATAATCACCATTAGTTACTGCAATATTTTATTCTTTTTTTGTGTGTGTGTGAAGAAGATCAGCCCTGAGCTAACATCCGATGCCAATCCTCCTCTTTTTGCTGAGGAAGATTGGCCTTGGGCTAACATCCTTGTCCATCTTCCTCTACTTTATATATGGGATGCCACCACAGCAAGGCTTGACAAGCGGTGCGCCGGTGCGGGCCCAGGATCCAAACCCGCGAACCCTGGGCCACTGCGGCAGAGTGCGCACACTTAATCACTTGCGCCACCGGGCTGGCCCTTGCAATATTTTATTCTTGCAATAATAAGTACACAATTATACTTCAGAATTTTAACATATTTAGCACATAAGAAGAATTTCACCATAGGTTGTATGTAGAATACTTACCCATATTTGAAAGTGAATATCATACATAAACAATAAATCTAAAATAAATTGTGCCCTGTCTATCTTACAGATGTTGTTATACTGATTAGATATAATGTCCTCAATAGGATCACAAGATCACTGTTCACACATAAGTTCAGGAGCACCAGCAACATACAGCCATTTAGCTCTTCAGTTTTCCCAAGACCAAGGTTGAGACTGAAGCCGAGTAGAAGACCTGGGCTGAACACTCAGGCCAAAGCTCGGCTTTGTTACATCCCTTCCCTCTCTCAAATGAAGTCAGAATAGGTATAAAAGACCAGGGTCAATGGCTTCAGAACCTCAAAGATTGCACACATTTGACACTTTTTCTGTTTGTAATCATTATTACCATGTATGTGTCCTAATTATTTCCTGTAATCATCTCTGTGTCTTGAATTTTCAAGCAATATGTGAGACATGCCAGTAAAACATAATGGGAAGGTGACTGTAAAAATTCAATTCCGACTATTACTGGTACCAAGAACCGCGAGAGTATTGAGGAAGTGAAAAGAAAGGCACTGTGTCTGCCTGGAGGGGACACTTTATTTATATCATTACATCTTTACCTTAAGATGTTGGCATCATGTGAGTGGGCAATGCAAAATCTCAAACCTAGCTTCCAGGAATAACGTTTACTTTGTAGGTTTCTTCTTTTAAAATATAACCACATGTGGGTGTAGAAGACTTAGAAAGTCATAAGTGCTTCAGTGCTGTCTGCGTTGTAATTCACAGAACCTGCCTATTACAGCCACTTTCTATTGCTATGATGACCTCTATCACCTCATAAGCAGGAAGGACAGAGAGAGCAGTACGCAAAACCTTGGCCACCCGCTTGGAGGGCTTTACCTCAGCGATCCTCCAAAGGTCCTTCCTCCCTGGTTCCATAGTATCTTCTGATATACAGCTCCAGCCAGGTTACCCTTGAAAACTCTCCTCTGGACTAGAGTTTTAAAGCATTAGAAAAACTGTGCAGAGTTGTGTTCACTCCCTAAAGCAGGTTTTTGTCCCTTTGTTGGTCTCCATGTTCTGTATGAGTGCCACCTTATCTGAAACAGCATTTACTACATGCCTACTATATGCTGGGAATTGTTCTTGATACTATCTGGATTAAAAATATGGCTAAGAGTTGGATACTGCCCTCAGGAGTCTAGGAGAAAGCCTTGCACAGAGTGGAAACTCGATGAATGTTTCATAAATGAACAAATGAAATAATTATAGGAGTTTGCAAGTTCTGTTATGGTTTATGTTCGTTTGGAAGTTTCAATGTCATAACTAAATCAACAAAATGAAACATAATTCTGAAAAAAAGGCACGTTAGTCCTAGGTCCTATTAATCAGGACATTTTCCCCACTGGCGAAAATAAAATGATTTTGAATCATTCATTTTTATAATAGTTTTTTTGCATGTTTAAAGGTACCCAGGTAACAGTCTGCCCTGAAAATTTGCTTTTTGAGCCTATCATACAAAAATGTCTGTGTGTGTGTGTGTGTGTGTGTGTGTGTGTGTGTGTGTGTTTTCATTGGGCCACCCAAGCGTTCAATACTTATATTCCTCACTTTGGACAAAAGGAGCTGGAAAATGGAAAATTTAAAGATAGACTGAAGCTCACCCAGCACCTTTGTAGAGGGATTCCAGCCCACCTCCAGATGTGATTGCTTTTATTTATTCCTTGACAGGTTAGAGGAGATTGTGAATAATAATAATGTTATCTATCTTATCAAACAGGAACAACCAACAACACAGACTCCTCACAAACAACTTCGCTGCCAACAGTTTCTTCATTAACCACAGCAGTTAATGGTGAAGGTGAGTAACAATTTGTTTTGGCACCATTTTTCTTTTATATATATAATTCACATACCATAATAGTCACCCTTTTAAAGTATACAATTCAGTGGTTTTTAGTATATTCACAAGAATGTGAACCACCGCCACTATCTAATTCCAGAATATTTTCATCACCCCAAAAAGAAACCCTGTGATTTCTTTTGGCTCCCAAATGGCTCCCAACCCCCTACTTACCTTAGTGCCTGGCAACAACTAACCTACTTTCTGTCTCTATAGATTTGCCTATTCTAGACATTTCATATAGATGGAATCTTATGATATGTGATCTTTTGTGTCTTGCTTCTTTCATTCAGCATAATGTTCTTAGGTTCATCCATACTATAGCATGTATCTGTAGTTCTTTCTTTTTTAAGACTAAATATCATTTCATGGTATGGATTTACCACATTTTGTTTGTCATTTATTAGTTGATGGACATTTGGGTTGTTTCTACTTTTCGCTATTATAAATAATGCTGCTATGAACATTTGTGTACAAGTTTTTGTGTGACCAAGTGTTTTCCTTTCTCTTGGGTGTATAACTTGAAGTGGAATTGCTGATGCACATGGTAACTCTATGATTAACTTTTTGAGGAACTGATTTCCAAAGCAGCTACATTATGCTACATTCCCACCAAAAATGTATGAGGGTATCAATTCTCCAATTTCTAGCCAATACTTGTTGTTGTCTGTCATTTTCCATCATAGCCATTCTAGTGGGTGTGAAATGGCATGTCATTATGTTTTTGATTTGCATTTCCCTAATCACTAATGATGTTGAGCATCTGTTCATGTGTTTATTGGCCATTTGCTTATCTTCTTTGGAGAAATGTCTATTCATTTTTTTTAAATTGGCCTATTTGTCTTTTTATTGTTGCTGTAAGAGTTTTTTAATATATTTTGGAGGCTAGACCCTTATCATACAGATAATTTGCAAATATTTTCTCCCATTCTGTAGGTTATCTTTTCATTTTCTTGATAGTATCCTTTGAGGCACTAAAATCTCTAATTTTGATGAAGTAAAATGAATCTACATTTTCTTTTGTCATGTAGAGGAGGCAAAACTTTACTGTTACCCATCTTAGGTTTTCAGCTGGGATTTTTTAACAAAAAGACAGATTAACAAGAGAAAAGCAAACAGTTTATTAAGGCAAGCATCACGTGAGAAACCTAAACAAAGAGTAACTCAAAATGGTGGCTTAGAATTTCGGCTTATCTAGCATCAACAAAGAACAATACATTTGCAGAGAAATGACAGGACAAAGGAAAGCAGTTGAGGCTTCTGAGGGCAGGAAACTGAGGGAAGGTGAATACATGGGAGGAAACTAATGGAATAAGGTTTGTTTGCAGATTCCTCTGGTGTCTCCTCTGGGCTGATAAGAGTCTGTCTCCAGTGAAAGGAGAATTTATTATATCCTGCCTTTATGTAGAAAAGGGGGGGGGGGCTTTTTCTGCATTTGCTGTTTCTTAATTGCCTTCAACTTAAAATGATTTTTATATCAAAGAGGCATATTTTGAAGTGACATATTCTGGTTTCCTTCAGTCCCTTGTGCAGTGAGGTTAAATCTCAGAAACTATTGCTCAACTCAAGGTCACAAAGATTTACACCAATGTTTTCTTCTAAGAATTTTATAGTTTTAGCTTTTACATTTGAGTCTTTCATTTTTGTATAGGGTGTGAGGCAGACATCCAGCTTCATTCTTCTGCATGTAGTTATCCAGTTGTCCTAACACTGTTTGTTGAAAAGACTATTCTTTCTTTCCCCATTTGAATCATCTTGGCACCCTTGATGAAAATCAATTGGACATAAATGTATGGGTTTTTCTCTGGACTCAAATATGCTCCATTTATCTATATCTCTATCCTTATGCCAAAATCATACACTCTTGATCACCATAGCTTTGTATGAAGTTTTGAAATCAGGAAATGTGAGTCCTCCAACTTTTTTCTTCTTTTTTAAGATTGTTTTGGCTATTCTGGGTGACTTGAGTTTCCATATGAAATTTAGGATCAACTTGTCAATTTCTGTAAAAAGTCAACTGGGTTGTGACAGGGATTACATTGAATCTGCAGATTAAATTGGCAAGTATTGCCATTTTAATAATCTTAAATCTTCTAATCCCTGAATATTAGATACACTTTTTATTTATCTAGGTCTTGTTTAATTTCCTTTGATAATGTTTATAGTTTTCAGTGTAGAAGACTTGGATTTTTTTATTCAATTCATTCCTAATATTTTATTCATTTTCATCCTATTGGAAATGGAATAATTCTCTTAAATTTTTTTTGGATTGTTCATTGCTACTGTATAGAAATATAATTTATTTTCATATAAATTATGCCACCTTATTGAACTCATTTGTTGGTTCTAATTTGTGTGTGTGTGTTTGTTCCTTAGGATTTTCTATGTACAAGATTCTTCTGCAAATAGAGATAGTTTTACTTCTCCATTTCCAATCTGGATGCCTTTTATTTGATTTTTTTTCCTATTTGCCCTGGCTAGAACCTCCAGTACAATATTGAATAGAAGTGGTAAGAGGGAACATTCTGGTCTTTTTCCTAATTATAGGGGAATGCTTTCAGTCTTTCACCATTAAGTATCATGCTCTTGTGGGTTTTTCATAGATGTTCTTTATCAGGTTGAAGAAGTCCTCTTCTATTACTACTTGGTTGAGTGTTTTTATCATGCAACGGTGTTGGATTTTGTCATATGCCTTTTCTCTGTCTATTGAGATTATTGTGTGATTTTTATCCCTTATTTTATTAATACAGCATATGACATTAATTTCTGTATGTTGAACAAACCTTGCATTCTTTGGATAAATCCCACTAGGTCTTGGCGTATAATGCTTTTTAACGTTGCTGGACTTGGTTTGCATTATTTTTGTTAAGAATTTTTGCATCTATATTCATAAGAGATGTAAGTTTGTAGTTTTCTTGTGATGTCTTTGTCTGATTTTGGTATCAGGTTAATACTAGCCTTATAGGATGATTTGGGAAGTGTTCCCTCCTCTACTAATTTTTGGAAGAGTTTGTGAAGAATTGATGGTAATTATTCTTTAAATGTTTGGTGGAATTTACCAGTGAAGCCATCTTCTCCTGGGCTTTTCTTTGTGAAAAGTTTTTGATTACTAACTCAATCTCTTAGCTCATTGGAGGTCTATTCACATTTTCTATTTCTTCTTGACTCAGTTTGGGTAGTTGGTGATTTCCAAGGAATTTGTCCATTTCATCTAGGTTATCTAATTTGTTGGCAGCATTGCCTTATAACCCTTCTTATTTCTGTAAGGACAGTAGTAATGTGTTCTCTTTCATTCAGGATGTTAGTAATTTGAGTCCTCTCTTTTTTTCTTTGTCAGTCTAAAGGTTTGTCAATTATGTTAATCTTTTTAAAAGAACCAACTTTTTATTTTACTGATTTCTCTGTTGCTTTTCTATTATTTATTTTATTTCTTTCTCTCTAATCTTTATTATTTCTTTCCTTCAGTTGCTTTGGGTTTAGTTCACTCTTCTTTTTCTAAATTCTTAAGTTGGCAGATTAAGATATTGATTTGAGATCTTTCTTCTTTTTTTAACATAGGTGCTGTTTTTGCTACATCCCATAAATTTTGGTATGTTGTGTTTCCATGTTCATTCATCTCCAAGTATTTTCTAATATCCCTTGTGATTTATTCCTTGACCAATTGATTATTTGGGAGTATATTGTTTAATTTCTACATATTTATGTATTTCTTCCCATCATGTTTAAAAAAAATTTTTTTTCCTCTTCAGTGTATTTACTACCTATGACAAGTTAACCGCTTCAAGCACCCAAATTTAAAATTTAATTTAATTTAAAAAATAAATGGTATGGAGACTATTCTAAACTATATCTTAGATATCTTTGCCTCATTAGCCAGAGCATAGAAAGCATGACTTGCAAGTGCTTCCCATTTTTTTCTAAGTACTTTTACAATAGTACATTTAGCTCTCATTTGAGGGAATGTATTATCATTTTTAAAAGATGGTTTTAAAATTATTATTTAAATATTGTTATTTAAAGATGGAGAAACTGAGTTTCAGGAAAGTTAAATGACTTAACAAAAAAAGCAGAAAATTCATAACAACAATTTAGAATTTGAAACCTGGTCCTTTAACTTCAAATTTTTCTTTCCATTTAACTAATTCATAATCAACTATTTCTTAATGAATCTGTATTATTATTTTAATCTTAATTATTACACTTGGCTATTAAATAGTGAGCCTTTCAGGTATTAGCAAAACCTATATGGCATTTTTTTCTTCCTACACAAAATGATCACCAAATTCTGTAACATTTTGCATTTCTTTTCTATGTTTGGTGTATGTTCTTGTTCTTTCCCTGTTTTCAAAGTATTTCTTTAGTGAGACTGCCAGTCTGCTATGGATGTTTATTTCTTTTAAGTTGCTCCTTTAAGTGTAACACACACACACACACACACAAACTTGTTAGAATTATGTTTAGAAAAGAGTAAAAACAGGTCCAGGTGAAAGGCCATTTTCTTTTTTTATTGATGTTTTAATAGTTTATAACATTGTGAAATTTTGGGTTGTACATTTTTGTTTGTCCATCACCATATATATGTCTCCCTTCACCCCTTGTGCCTACTCCTCACCCCCATTGCCCCTGGTAACCACAATACAGTTTTCTCTGTCCATGTGTTGGCTTATGTTCCACATATGAGTGAGATCATACAGTGTTTGTCTTTCTCTTTCTGGCTTACTTCACTTAAGATGGACCCTCCAGGCCCATCCATGTTGTTGCAAATGGGACAATTTTGTCTTTTTTTATGGCTGAATAGTATTCCATTGTATATATATACCACATCTTCTTGATCCAATTGTCAGTCGAGGGACACTTAGGTTGCTTCCACTTCTTGGCTATAGTGAATAATGCTGCAATGAACATAGGGGTGCATAAGCCTCTTTGGATTGTTGATTTCAGGTTTGTTGGGTAGATTC